AATCAATTGTAAGTCGTTTCTAACTAATTTTCTTCAATCCTTAACATCTTTTAACATGATTTTAACTTCAGATCAATGATTTTCATGGGGAAATTGGATGTTTTGGGTAGAACCTAGGTTTTTTCAAAAATGGGGATTTGGACCTCGATTTGAGGTCCAGTTTCAAAACAAATTATATATTTGAGTTCGTGGGGGAATGGGTAATCGAGTTTTGGTTTGAACCTCGGGTTTTGACCATGTGGGCCCGGGGGCGATTTTTGACTTTTGGGGTAAAACTTTAAGAAACTCATTTTCATGCATTAGAATTGATTCATTTAGCGTTTATTAATGTAATTAAGTATCTTGTGGCTAGATACGAGCGAATTGGTGGTGGAATCAAGGGGCAAAGCGTTAATTGAGATGTGAATTGAGGTCGTGGCATCGAGGTAAGTGTTTGGTCTAACCTTAGCTTGAGGGATTAGGAGTCGTGTCTTATTTGCTACGTGTTAATTGTGGAGTAGGACGTATAGGCATGGTGATGAGTATCTATACGTCGGTGTCAAGCATGCCCGTGAGTCTTGTATTATAATTGTTTTGACTCCGTTGTGGTTTATTGTGCCTCACATGTTACTATCATCATTGTTCCTTTGTCGGGATGTTTGTTTTGATATTATTGTTCCCTTGTCGGGATGTTGTTGAAATATTATTGTTCCCTTGCCGGGATGTTGTTATATTGCTCTTGTTCCCTTGCCGGGATTCTTTGTGGTTGTTGTTGATTTGTAACTGGGATCGGGTGCCTGCCACAAAATAAACGAAATGGGAGCGGGTGGCACGCCTGCCACGAGATAAATGAAAGGGGAGCGGGTGGCACGCCTGCCACGAGATATATGAAATGGGAGCGGGTGGCACGCCTGCCACGAGATATATGAAATGGTATCGGGTTGCACGCCTGCAACGAGATACGTGAAATGGGAGCGGGTTGCACGCCTGCAACAAGATGAGCAATGAAAGTGAATTCTGTCTTTGTTTTCCTTATCCTTGTTAGTTGTTGGATTTTGGTTCCTTTATATTTCTCTTGATATTCTGTTTTACCTGTTATTCCCCGAAGCATGCTTTTCCCCTCTCATATTCGACTGTTTATTTCTGTACTTCCTTTCCGTTGTATATATTTGAATTGTACAGGTTTATTTGGTAGTCTGGTCCTGGCCTCGTCACTACTTCGCCAACGTTAGGCTAGGCACTTACCAGCACATGGGGTCGGTTGTGCTGATACTACACTCTGCACTCCATTATGCAGATCCCAGTACTGTAGACTTCGGACCGTAGATTGAGTGGTTACCTTCAGGCCACGCGGAGATCCAAGGTAGACCTGCAGGCGTCCGCAGGCCCTGGCGTCTCCTCTGTCTTATTTCCTGTTTCATCTCTTTGATTCTGAGACAGTATATCTTTTATTTTCAGACTTTGTATTTAGCACTCTTAGATCGTCTGTGGTACTTTGACACCAGTTCTGGGTGGTTAAGGCTTAGTCGGTTGTAATAGCTACATGTTCAGATATTTTATTTCTTTCTTCCGCTTATTCTAAATTTTCCGCTATTTATACGTTATTGCTTTATAATTGTTAAAAGGAAATAATTGGATAATGAAGTAATTAGTTCAAGGAATTGGCTTGCCTAGCTCACATTAGTAGGCGCCATCACGACTCCCGGGTGTGGAAAATCCGGGTCGTGACAAATTTGCACAGGTGCACATATCGCATTTGCGAAATCAGGTTCGCAAATGCGAACTCCCAAATGCGGCCCAGGCTTCGCAAATGCGAAGGTAGGCCAAATCCTGCTTTCTTCTCGATTGCGAACAGTTCTTCGCATTTGCGGTCCCTGTTGAAGTCGCATTTGCGATATAAGCCTCGCAAATGCGAGGGTTCCTGTCCCAGCCCAATATCGCAATTGCGACGGGGTCTCTCGCAAATGCGAGCTCGCAATTGCGAGCCTGGCTTCGCAATTGCGAAGCATGCAGACCTGCAACACACAGCAGTTGAAAATCTGAAACTTCCTAAGTTCAAAACACTCCGTGGCCTATCCAAAACTCACCCGAGCCCTCGAGGCTCCAAATCAAACATGCACACCAACCTAAAAACATCATACGGACTTGCTCGTGCAATCAAATCACCAAAATAACATCAATAACTATGAATTGAACCCAAATTCATGAAATCATCCAAGAACACCCAAAATTCCAATTTCTCAACTTTAAGTCCGTTTTATACCAAACCAATCCCGATCTTTACCAAATTTTACAGATTCAACCAAATTATTATTTCAAACTCGTACTGAGCTCCGGAACCAAAATACAGGCCCGATACCATCAAATTCAAACATATTTCATTTCCAAAAACTCATACATATTCCAGAAAATAATTTTTTTTAAAAAATTCATTTCTCGGGCTTGGGACCTCGGAATTCAATTCCGGGCATACGCCCAAGTCCCATATTTTCCCACAGACCCTCCGAGACCGTCAAATCACGGGTCCGAATCCGTTTACCCAAAATGTCGAAGTCAACCTAAATTCCTTTTAAAGGAAAAATTCATCATTTTTCACAAATTTTCACATAATGGCTTTTCGGATACACGCCTGGACTGCGCACGCAAATCGAGGTAAAACAAAAAGGAGGTTTTAAGGCCTCGAAACACAAAATTTACTTTCAAAACGAGTGATGACCTTTTGGGTTATCACAATATGCCTATGGTTAGAAGTACTGCCACCGCAGACATTTTATGTGATATGGATGATTGCAATTGGACGTCATACATGTGTAATGTTATCTAGAGTAATGAATAAAATAGTCTGCTTAACCAAAAAAAAAAAAAATTTTGCATTTTATAGGTGCTCATAAATTTAACACAGCACATCGATTAGGCATACCAAATGTTAGGCCTGGCTATTTGTTGCTATAAGGAATTTGAGATTAGTGGAAATCTCTTTTTAAGATTATTACTAATATCCAATTAATGTGCAAGCAGTTTGGCCTCCTAAGCCTATACATATTTTGCACATCTAAATTTTTGATAGCCGTTAAAATCAAATGGACATCTGTTAATTAGTTGCCTACTTTTGTTTTTTCAGAGTTAATTTTATGCTTTAAGCTTTCTTGAAATAAAATTTCACTTCTCGCTTCACCTACACTAATAAAGAAAATAAGACAAGTTTTAATTAAATTAGAAACGTTTTTGATTAATTTGCTTTCTTTTTTTTTTTACCAAATTTAAAGGGAGAATTATACGTACCTCTCTTGAAATTTGATTTGAAACACACACATCCCTTATCTTTTTTCCATTTTAAAATATTATGCAAGCTTTGGTTGTCACTTTTGTTTAGCAAATATACAATTTTATTCTACAGCAGAATAATTTTTTCCCTAATTGTTCCAATCGATGTTATTATTTTGTGTAAATAGCAAACTATGTTATCATATCTTAAATAATCATGAATGTAACCTTACCATATTCCAATAATAATGTCCAAATATTAGTGGAAACAAGTAACATATAGAAAGTTAAAAGTTAAGACAATTATAAAGAAACTTCACGCCATATATAAGGAAAGTAATTTTCTTGAATCAACGACCATAAAATGACTTTGTCATGAAATATTTTATTGTAAAGCAACTTCCGTCGTATCAAACACTGAGTCCATTACTCAAATGGCCACTCAACTATCCCAAATTATCTCCTAAAGTAACTTTATTTTCATTTGTAACAACAAAGTAACTGAACTATGTCTATTGCACTCAGAAGCGCACTCAACTAGATTTTTCAAATTTTTGATTGCCAAATACCTATTTTACCCTCTAAATTATAAATATTTATCTTCTTTTTATTTTCTAAAAACTTTTTAATATTATTATTTTTTTTAATTTATATTATGGACTTACCTATAGAATAAATAAATATTATTTATAAATTAAAAAAATAAAAAGTATTTAAGCATATATAATGCTAGATATGCTCAATTATATTATTATGTTTCTACCAACTTTCCGGCGACACAAATTTATGTCACTAGAAAGCAGGGGGAGTATCTGTATAGGGTAAAATATGCTATGTTAAGTCGTGCATCGAATATATAATATAATGAGCATAATTTTCAAGACTATACAATGTATATTATAAAAATACTTTTATTTAAATAATTGTTTTTATATTACGTGCATGAAATATGTATTTTACAACCTTTATTTTCTTTTATTCTGAATTGTGTAAATAAATTTTTCAATTTTTGTTGTTAATAATAAAATTATTATTACGAACAAATTATTCTAATTAATTTTTTATTATGCTCATTATTTTGTTATTCCAGCATTATAAATGCTTAAATACATTTTATTTTATTTTAATTTATAGATAATATTTATTTATTCTATAGGTAAGTCCATAATATAAATTAAAACGGGAAAATGATAATATTAAAAAGTTTTAAAAAAAATAAAAGAGATAAATATTTATAATTTAAAGGGCAAAATAGGTATTTGGCAATCCAAAATTTGGAAAATATAGTTGAGTGACCTTCTGAGTGCAATAGCCATAGTTAAGTGACTTTGTTGTTACAAACGAAAGAAAAGTAACTTTAGGAGATAATTTGAGATAGTTGAGTGACCATTTGAGTAATTGACTCATCAAACACTTATGAAAGAGTAGCCAGTACTCAAACTATTATCAATATGAAGCTATTTGCAGAGAACTTTTATATTTCTTTGGAGTTAAAATCGAAAATGTTTTCACAATCAATTATTTGCCAATTTGTTCTAATACCACCTTTTATAGATGGAGCTTCAATTTTCTAGAGTTCATAACTTAAATAAGAAGTTCTAGTTTGGAGATGTGTAGATTTTGTAATAGGTTAGTGATCTAGGCCACAAATACCATGAAAGATGTCTATTACATTTATCATATCAACTCCTTTGATTTTCAACAGCTGTATATAAAGTTCCTTTCCTCCTCTACAAACAAAGCACAGTGCAAATATTTCATTTAGTTGAAATACATTCCAAGCTATCACTTCTATCTAAGATGTATGCATCAAACCTTGTATCATCAGTATGCAAAAAGATAATCAAACCATATTTTCCTACTCCAACTTCACTTCGTTGTCACAAGCTCTCTTACCTTGATCAAATGGTCGGTGGCATTTACGAGCCTTTCGCCTTTTTATACCCTAAAATGAGCGATACATGGTCAGATAAACCAAGTAACGTTATATCAGAACATCTTGAAAATTCCCTTTCAAAAGTTTTGTCCCATTATTATCCATTTGCAGGGAAATTGAATGAAAATATCTCCGTTGATTGTAATGATCGCGGAGTTGAGTTTTTCACTACCAAAATCGACTGTCCAATGGCTAAAATTCTCAAAGATCCTTATTCTGATAAAGAAGATTTAGTCTATCCGAAAGGAATTCCTTGTACATATTCATACGAGGGTAGTCTTGCAGTGGTTCAACTTAGTTATTTCAATTGTGGAGGAATAGCAGTCAGTGTATGTTTGACACACAAAATTGGAGATGGATATACAATAGCCAACTTTATTCGCGATTGGGCTACTATAGCACGTAATCCAAGTTCAAAAATACAAAGTCCTCAATTTAATGCTGCGTCTATTTATCCACCTACAAAAGACATGGCAAATCTACCTGAAGTTGTTCCCAAGGGAGAAGAATGTTCATCCAAAAGTTTTACTTTCTCATCATCTAAATTAGCTGCACTGAGAGATATGGTTATAAGCAATTCAGAAGTACAAAATCCAACAACCACTGAGATTGTATCAGCATTCATTTACCTACGTGCAATGGCTACAAAAAAGAAAACTTCAGGTTCGATTTGTCCATCCGCATTAGTCCATGCTGTGAGCTTACGGCCTCCATTGCCGAAAACTTTAATGGGAAATATTGGTTCTTTCTTTTCTATATTAACAACCGAAGAGAAAGAGATGGATCTACCAAAAGTGGTTGGTAAACTACGGGCAGCGAAAGAAGAACTTCGTCAAAAATACAAAAATGCTAAAACAGATGAATTTTTACCTATAACGATTGAATTATATAAAGAAGCAAATAATAGTTTTTTCAATAATTCTTGTTATGATATCTATAGGTTTAGTAGCATCAGTAAGTTCCCTATTTATGATATAGACTTTGGATGGGGAAAGCCAGAAAAAGTAAGTTTTGTAAGTAATGGTCCAGTTAAAAACATGTTTTTGTTGATAGATAATAAAAGTAGGGATGGAATGGAAGTAATAACCTATATGAAGGAACAAGACATGTCCGCATTCGAGAGAGACGAAGAGCTCCTAGAGTTTACTTCTCCAAGCAACTAAGAGTATTAATCAAATATGTGATGGAGTACTGTAAGTCACAGAGCAGCCTTGTTGTCACGATCCACTGGGATCAACCCTTCTTTACTCTAATTCGTCAAAAAAAAAAAAATAAAAATAAAAAAAAAAAAAAATAAGAAAGAAACATTTTTCTTCCACTGTTATCGCTTTGCAATATAGAAGTGTGAGGATTTTTGTGCGTTTGACCCCCCAATTAATAATATTTGCACATTTGAACCCTTTACTTATGAATCTTCGCAAATTTAATAAATTATTAAGTGTTATACCATTTAATTATTTATGTGTTATGTTGATTAAATTTGTATTCTTCTAGAGATAGTCTAAATATCATACATCCTATATACTTACCCAACTATTACAACGATCAATATCAAAATTTACTAATAACGGAAGGACTAAAAGTGTAGTTATTGCTAAATATATGAATAATTAAGTAATTGTATCGTGCGATTCGAACCTTATCTAATGAAACAAGCTGAGCTTAGTTAGAATTGGTAGCTAGACTATGCCTTTTATTTATTTATTTATTTATTTTTATTTTTTATTTTTTTGAGATCATAAATAAAACAAAAGTGATAATAGGTGAATTTGACTATAATCACACCTTAAATAATCACCTTCTTGTGTAGTTTTAATGCTAAAAGTGATGACAAAATGCTCTTATTAGTGCTTTTCATGATTTGTAGGTGATATATGTATAAAGACGGCTAAGGAGCAGTTTTGGAGTCAAACGTGATGAAAAAGAGGCCAACTGTGAAATTTCCTAAGTGACCCGGGCAAAAACAGGCCGAAGATTCAGAGAACTGGATCCACCGCGGTTTCACCGCGACCGCGGCAGAACCGCGGTGGGAAGCAGCTGCAGAAGTTGTGAGAATCTGCGAGGGTGTTTGGCCGCGGTTCTACCGCGACAGCGGCTGAACCGCGGCAGGCGCAGAACTTCTGGGACCAAGTGTCAATTACGGGATTTTTAGACCTACACCCTATTTAAAACATTAGACTTCGCCCAAGAGAGGCATGTATTGATTTTTTAGGTT